CTTTGTTCTATTCTCCCTGTCCGTCTACTTTTGGAGAATACAAAGGCGTGACACAATCATTTCTTCTTGGATCCCTGTTGATTTTGGTTGGGGACGTCGAGCTCAAGACGTTAAAATGAGCGCTTCGTGGGAGACAACCCATGGTTCGTTTTTTTTTTCACGTTTTTTGCTTTTTACGGGTAATAAATAGCTCCGCAAGCCACATGACACACGGTATTTTTAGAGAAGGAGACGGGACTCAAAACCGAGCTTATGTTGAAATTTGGGTTGGAATGCGGCGAAGTGTTGAAAAATGGCCCGGAAGTCGAGCGAAAATTGTGTTCAGAGTTGAGTTGAAAATTTGGGATGAAAATTATCAAAATATGCCTAAGTATGGATTTAGAGTTAAATTGCACTAGGAGTCTCGAATATTCGCGCGCGAAACAGCACTGGCGCCCGGCGAAACTACACTCGCGCCGCAAGTTCCATTTCGCGCCCGACGAAGGTACACTCGCGGCATGCGAATCCCAGCTCGCCAGCTGACGCGCGCTTAACCAATGTCCAGGTCCAGAGTGTTCGCGCACCGAAACGCATTTCGCGCTCTGCGAAGACGAACTCGTGCGCGAATCATCTCTCGCGCCCTGCGAGCGCGGCTTGGCAGCCAGTGAGACCTTTTCCGCCAGCGAACGCGCGCCTCACCCCATCTTCTGCCCCATATTGTCCGTGAGGCGAAAAAGTCTGCGTCCAGTGGAAGCCATCTCGCGTGCCAACTCCAACTCGCACCCTGCGAGTCCCCATTCGCGGGTCGCCAACCACGCCCCGCCCGCGAAACTCCCAGGTGCCCATCTTCTTCCCAGGGCCTCCGGCCGCCGCCCACCACCGCCCGCCGCCGCGCACCGCCACCCCCTCTGGCCAACTTGCTCCGATCATGAAAAATTTTATATCAACGCGAAGCTCTCGTCGACGCCGACAACATATCCGAGTTTCAAGCAAAAATTCCGGCGAGAAGACTTTCGATTTTCCGGCCAAAGCTCGTAGATCTACAAATCTACTTCAACCTTCAAATGCAAATTCTCGGTGACTCACATGGAATTATCAAAATTGGAGGACACCTTCGGAATCCTCTTGCCGAGGCGCTCCAGATTCAGGCCACCCTTGCCGGATCCGGCGAATTTTTCCGGCGAGCTATTTTCCGGCCATAATTCGCTCACCGAGCCCCCGGTTCACCGTTTTTCGCCATTTTTTTACCATACCTTCATGGTTTCTTCAATGGAGGTGCATTTTCTGGCAACCGGAGCTCCGAGCAACGCTTATCTCTCTTTTTTCATATCCCGACACCATATTTTTTGGCGAGCTTCAAGGTACACATCTATCGTTCGATTTTTCTTGCTTATTGGTTGCTTGGGATGATGTGGAACACTACTCTTGCCGGAGTAGTGGCTTTGGTGAGTTGAATTGAGTGATTGAGGTGATCTTTCGATTGTGTTGGGCACATCTTGCCGGACGTGCGAATTTTTGTGTTGTCATTGCCGGATTTTTGAGTTTGAAGGTTGCTACATACGACAAGTGCCGGTAATTGGTTCGTGCTTTGAACCCAAGAAGAGTTGGCCGTGTCATGCCATGGCGAGTATCATTGAGGACCTTGAGGTCCGATTTTTGAGCTTTCGAGCATATTTGTGTCTTTGTTGAGGTTGTGAATTCACGGTTATTATCCTCTCAGACGCATACACGTGGCCTTTACTCAGAGCCGATGGACGGGATTCTCTTATGCTTTCACATGTCATAGTGCCCGGTTGGCGTATGGATCGATATGCTTTAATTGTTCAATCGTTCGGATGGTTTTATTTTGCGCTCAAGGACTTTCGGATTATTTTCTCTATTCCCATCGGACGAACACCATTAGACACACGGTGGTGCATCACCGTGTAGAGTACGCATTTTCTTTTCTTATTTTCCTTTTCTCTTAGTTGTTTCTTGTGTGTTTTTGTGTTTTCTTTCTTTTTGTATACTTGTTTATTTTGTTCCGTTTCATTTATCGCATGAGTTTGTGTGATTATGTGCTCTATCTTATGCTTTTTGGTCAAACAATGAGGACATTGCTTTGTTTTAAGTGTGGGGGAGGGATTTCATGATTATGCATGTTTAGGCGATATTTCTTTCATTTTTGGTGCATTGTTTTCGTTTTGGACCGGTTTTTGTTTAGTTTTTGTGTGTTTGTGTCACCTCTCCCGCATGAAGCTCAATGTTAGTTCAAGAGTCAAAATGACTAAGTGGTGAGTCGAGATTGTTGATTGGTTCCATTATTAACGTTCATGCTTTATGTACTTGATGAATTGGAAGGTGACTTAAAATTGAATGATAACTCGTTGACATTGGAACCCGCATGTGAATTCACGGAATTGTTTTGTCCCTTGTTGTTCTCGATTGATTGACTTGAGATATGCTTACCTTATGCTCGATATCATTGTAAACGTGTTGTTCTAGTCATTTGTAGTGCATCTCGATCGATTATGTGTTTATGATTACACTTATGATGTACTCTTGTGCCACTCTCTTAAAAAAAAAGAATAAAAAAAAGGGAATAAAAAGTGAGTTCGCGAGGAAGTACGGACTAGGCGCCTCTTATCCCGAGCCACCTCGTGGAATGGGATAATGAGCCCGGGAAATCGGTCTATGGAACTCGAGTTGACCAATCGAGAATAAGTCTAGATAAGCATCGTCCGGAAACCTCGTTTGGAAAAAGTGGCTCAAAAAAAAAGAAGAAAAAGAAGAATGGGAGTTAGTTTATTGGTTTCATGCTTATCATCTTTATATGTTTAGTAGACCATTTATAGTTTTTTGCACGTGTATGTAGAAGAAGGGAGTTTGAATCGAGTCATCATGTGTAGGATAACTTGGGACGGGTTTTTGTTTTGTATAGATTCATTATGTGGGGAACGTGTTTTCGGATTGGAGTTTGATTTTATGGATAACCGGATGAAGATGAGAGTCTCATTTCGCATGCTCGTTAATTTTGGACTTCACAATTTTTCTTTTCGAGCTACTTGTTGTTTTGTTTGCTTAAGGACAAGCAAGGAGTTAAGTGTGAGGGAGTTGTTTGTTATGTTTTTGTGGTGTTTATTGTGTTTTGTATGCTTTAGTCGAGTTATTTTTAGGTTCATTTTAGTGTCGACCGGTCCATTTTATAGTATTTTCTGTATTTTTATTCTCGTCTTGTGTTTTTGTATTTTTACGTATTCTCTCGTCTCTTTAGGAGTGTTATGTAGGTCCATATTGCAAGCTTGAGAATCCAAACCATTTTCGAGCCATTCTGAGATCATTCCGAATCATCCGAGCCATCCGAGCAAGAGATAGCCTACCTTGGGACTCAACATACTCGCAGCAAGATTCCATTCGCGTGCCGTGAAACGCGCACCATAGTAGCCCCAGGCGCCCACTCGCAGCGAAGGAGCATTGGCGACCCGCGAAATGCTCGCCCCAGCTCCAAGGCCTAGCACTCGTAGCGAGTTTCTGTTGGCGACCCGCGAACCGCGTGCCCCAGCAGCCCATCTCCCCACACTCGCTGCGAACTTCCTTTCGCAACCGGCGAAACGCGCGCCCCAGCAGCCCATCTCCCTACACTCGCAGCGAACTTGTGTTCGCGACCCGTGAAAGCGCCCGTGCAGGCCATTTTTCACTCCAACTCGCTGCGAACCATTATTCGAGACCCGCGAACTTCAGAATTTCATTAAATGTGTGTGTTTCTAGTGTGTGTTTGTGGTGTAGCTATAAGTAGACATTGTGTTTTGTATTTTGGACACCAACCCTCATTTCCTAACTTTTAAGTTGGGAAATCCTCTCCATTTTCTCTCTTCTCTCTCTTTTTTTTTTATGATTTGGTTGGGAGGTCCATGACTCAATTTTCCGGCGAAATTATGGCAAGTTTATTTTTATTCAAGTTTCGAGCTTTATTCACTATTTTCGTTCAAGCATGCGATAGGAGAGTAGGTACCTAGCTTAGGCCCTTCTACTTCGAGTTTGATTGTCGAATTATGTGTATGCTCGTTTGTAGGGTTTTGCTTTATTTTTATTGCTTGCTTACGTGTGTTAGGAATCTATATGTGCTTATCTTGTGTAGAGACCTCGACTTTGCTTAAAGCGTGATGATCTACTGTAGAAAGCTCGTGTTAGATTACCTAGGATCACTATGCTCGAATGGAATCTTGCTGCGAGTATGTTTCTCTTAGATTCTTAGTTCAATTTCATGCAATCATCCCCAATCATGCGAGTAGAATGTGTAGGACCTTCTTTTGGTTATGTGACTTTGACGACTAGGTAGTGAACGAAGCTCCAAATAGTCTTCTTTTGCGAACGACCTAAGTCGAGTAACTCGGTTACCACATGCCAAAAAATACTACAAATAGTGTCCGACAATACATAAATGACATGGCATAGCATCTAATGTGTCAACTAATATGGAAATACTTACTCAGTCATTTGCATCAAATATCACAATCTCTATGAATTGCAACATAATCACNTCCTTTTGCTGAATATATCTTCACCTTTTGCTTAGTTTTGCAAAATGATATATAAAATCTAAAAGCAGGTTAGCCTTAATTTATCACATATATAGCTTCAAGTATTAATTTTTCATAGATACTACTTGTTCACTAAATTGTTTTCTAACCCGCAAGTATCTGGGGTAAATAATAATGACCACCACTAATATTTATAATCAATAAAAGGATTAACAAACGAATAATAAACAAAATAAAAAATTAATATACAATCATAAAATAGATTTAAGTATTAATAACCCTAAAATTACTAATTATTTTTGAAAGAAAACATGCATTATCATGACAAATATTAAAGAAAAATGGATCAACATCGATTACTTCATTTCTGCTCAAAGAGTGTATGTGCGGCTACAGTAATTTCAGAAAAGACATTTAACCCTACTAAAACCAACTATGAATATATATACAACAATTCATGGTCGATCTTAGTCCATGAAATTCTAATCTAACGGTTGTAATATGAAGATGATGAGTCCCATGTGCATGTCCCTCTCCATGCAGGTACAAAAGCTAAGTTCTTTGTCTTCATGCATGAGTTGGATAATGAGTCTTGAATAGGGAATGTTTGGCTTGTATGGTCAATGCAAAACTCTGGTTTGCTAACACTCCCTCTCAATTCGATCGAGGACTTGTATATAACTCCTAACTTGTTCCTAAGTCGAGAGAAGAATTGGTTAGCAAGGGGCTTAGTCAAAACATCTGCAATCTGCTCCACTGAAGGCACATGATGAACCATTAACCTTTTCTTGGCTATATTCTCCCTAACAAAATGATAGTCATGTTCAACATGTTTGGTTCTTCCATGCATGATTAGATTTGAGGCTAGAAAGACTGTGCTTTGGTTATCAACCCATATGACTGGAGTTTTCATTTCAATTAATCCAATCTTAGTAAAAAAAAAAAAACTGTATCCACATGACTTCAGTTGCTGCATGTGCAAGGCTTTTATACTTTGATTCTGTACTGGACCTTGAAACAGAAGGTTGCTTCTTTGAATACCAAGATACCAAGTTCCCTCCTAGGAAAACATAATACCCTGTCACTGATCTCCTATCATCCAAGTCTGCTCCCCAGTCTGAATTAGAAAAACCAATGATGTTCATGTGTGAAGATTTTCTAACATGAAGGCCGTAATCCATTGTTCCAACCAGGTATCTCAAAATTCTTTTAACTGCCTTCCAGTGTGTATCCAAGGGAGAAGCCATGTATTGACTAACCTTATTCACTGAATAGCTTATCTCTGGCCTTGTGATTGTGATGTATTGGAGTGCTCCAACAACACTCATGCATAAGGTTCTATCCATAGTTGGGTGCCCTTCATGCTTAGACAGTAACGGTGATGTGATCACTGGGGCAGGAAGACATTTTGCATCTTCCATTTTCAACCTTTTGAGTAAGTTTTTAATGTAGGAACCTTGATTCAAGTGTAGCCCTTCTGTGGTTCTTTTGATCTCAATTCCCAAAAATTTATCTATCTTCCCTAAGTCCTTTAATGCAAAGGCTTTTCCAAAGGTCTGAACAAAGATATCAATTTCATTATCATCACTCCATGTGACTAAGATATCATCCACATATAGCAAAACAAACATGCTTCTTGAACCTTTTGTCTTAAAGAATAAGAAACTACTAGCTTTGGAAACATTGAACACCATTGCCTTTAGAACTCCTTTTACTTTGCTAAACCAGGCTCTTGAAGCCTGCTTTAATCAATATAATGCCTTAGGCAACTTACATACCATCATTTTTTTACCTTTAGTTTCAAAACCAGGTGGTTGCTTCATAAATATCATCTCATCCAAGTCTCCATTCAAGAAAGCATTGCTTACATCAAGCTGCCTTATCTTCCAATCATTGTTGACTACAAGGCTGAGCATTATTCTTATAGTGTTGTGCTTGATCCTAGGAGTAAAGGATTCCAAAAAGTCAAAACCTGGAATCTGAGAATACCCTTGTGCTACCAGCCTTGCTTTGTGCTTTAGAATACTTCCATCTGTTTTCCTTTTGATTTTGAACACCCATTTGCACCTACAACATTCTTTTTTTTAGGTAACTCCACCAGTTCCCAAGCCTTATTTTTTGAGAGTGCACATAACTCTTCTTCCATGGCTGCCACCCATTGGTTTTTGCATAAGGCTTCTTTCAAGGAAGTTGGTTCCTTCTCTTCATCAATGTAAGAAGTATAGGCCTTTGGCTTGTAAATTCCTGCCCTTGCTCTTGTCACCATATAATGTCTATGGCTTGCATTTTGATCAACATTCTCTTGGTCTGTCTGTCTTTCTATAGGCAAATCTACCACAAAGGGTATGGTTGAATGACTGCTGTGTGATCTTTAAGATCCTGTAGGGCTGTTGTGATTTGATTCATTCATTCGTCTTTGAGGTGATATTTGAGGAGTGATGGTGGTTAGATTTTCAGTATCATTCACTCCTTTTTCTGAATGTTTGGCTCCATTATCCTCAACAATTGTGGGAATGATTGGAAGAGTTGTAAAGGATCTCAAGTCTGTATTATTGTTTGACTGGTTTTTCTTAATAGCATATGGGAAAACTGTCTCATCAAACAAAACATTTCTACTGATAATGATCCTTTTATCTGGCAACAACACTTTGTAGCCCTTATACTGGTTGCTATAGCCAACAAAAACTCCCCCAACTAATCTGAACTCCATTTTGTGCTTATTATAAGGCCTGAGATGTGTATAGCACAAGCATCCAAATACTCTCAACCTTCTATAATCTGGCTTGTGTCCATACAAGACTTTCAGATTTTTTTTGAACTTGAGAGGCTTGCTTGGGATTCTGTTTATTAAATATATTGCTGTTGTGAAAGCATCTCCCCAATAACATAAGGGCAAGCCTGATTGAGCTAAGAGAGATAATCCCATGTTCACAATGTCCTTGTGCTTTCTTTCAGCCAGTCCATTCTGCTCAGGGGTATTAGCACAAGATACCCTATGGACTATTCCATTTTCTTGAAAAACTTTAGATAGAGATTGGTATTCACCTCCTCCATCACTTTTCACTGCCTTGATTTTCTTTCCAAATTGATTCTCAACCAGGGTTTTGAAGCTAAGAAAAGCACTGTAAGCATCTGATTTTGCTTTTAATAGATATATCCATGTGAATCTAGAGTAGTGATCTATAAAGCTAATGTAGTAAGCATAACCATTCACAGATTTAACAAGACAAGTTCCCCACAAGTCAATGTTCACAAGCTCAAAGCAATCATGCTAAACATTTTCAGAATCATTAAAAGGTAAAGAGTGGCTTTTTGCCATAATGCAAGAACTGCATAAACCAGGTTGTTGCCTTAAATCATATTCCAGATTACATGCCTTCAAGACTTTCTCAACATTTCCATAATTAGTATGTCCTAACTTTGGTGCCATAATTCAAGACTTAAGCAATTACTAGTCTTTGAGAAAAAGAAAATCGGCTGCAAACTGGATATCTGTGAAGTGTTTTCACTTGATTGTAAAAGATTCTGAAACTTAGGAGTCCCCTTCATGCACTGCAGGTTGAACTGGTACAATCCTTCCTTAACTATTCCCTTGAGAAGGATTTCTTGAGTTTACAGGTCCTTGACAAGACAGAAATAAAGGTGAAATTCAAAATACACTTGGTTGTCTTTAGCAAATTGGGACACACGAAGTAATTTTCTACTGATGTTAGGAACATGAAGCAAATTCATGAGTACAGAGATTTTAGAGGTATCATGGCTCTGTATAAGAGAGTTACCAAAGTGAGTAATAGAGGCTCCTTCACCATTCCCCATCAGCAGCTTGCTTCCACTTGTGTACTCAGAAGCTATGGTCAAATTTTACAGCTCATTAGTGACATGGTTTGAGGTACTTGAGTTAGGAAACCAATTGGTTTCAGATCCAACATCTGAATAGAGATTTCCACCATGAATTTGCACCATATTGAGGCTAGGATTGGGATTTGTGCTTGGCCCTTGTTGATTTTGAGCTCCTGACTGGTTGTTGGGTCCATTATCATACCTATACCAACACTTGTCTGCAGTATCACTCAAGCCATAACAAATTTGGTATTGAGGCCTATTTTGTTGGTTTCTCCCACGGCCTCTTTCTCTGTTAGATCTACCTCCTATATTTCCTTGATAGAGGCCTCTTCCTCCTCTATTCTGATTAAAATTTTGAGAGTAGTTCCTCTGATTATTTTGAGTGACTGTATTGGCATAAGGTTGTGATCCTTCAGAGTTGACTATGCTACTTTGGTTCTTTTATAATCTTGATTCATAGGTGAGAAGAAGTGCATGAACCTCAGCCAAAGTGTGAGGAAGGTAGAGGTCACATTGACAACCACTGAATCATACTCAGACCCCAAACCAGTTAAGATATGCAACACTTGATTATGTTCTGAGACTTTTTCATCAGCTATTGCCAAGATATCACAATGATTTTTTATCTTGCTCAAGTATTCTCTCATTGACAGCCAAGATTTTTTTAAAGTTTGCAATTTTAGCTTATATTGCATGATCCTAGCTGAGGATTGGCTAGTAAAATTGTTCTCAATGGTTTCCCAGATTTTCCTGAGCTGATTCTAGACCAACCATCATCACTAATATTCCTTCACTTAAAGAGGATAATAATCATGAAGGTAGAAGTTGGTCTTGCCTTACCCAAAGGAGATATTCTTGGTTAACAGTGCGCTCTCATGTCTCTTCATTTTGGATGAGCTTCTCTGGCCTTTTTGATTCTCCATTGATGTAACCTTCTACTCTATATCCCCTGATGTCAGTGATGGACTGCTGCTTCCATATCAAATAATTTGTTTCATCAAGATTGGTCGAAATCAACTGACTGTTGGGCTATATTAGAGAGCTTTGAGCCATATTGAAAGAGGATACACTTACAGTCGAGTTCTCTGGCTGGCTCATGATTCAGAGCTAAAAAAAAATGAATAATAGAGGGTAAAGGGTCAGAGACAGGAAGATCCTGCTCTGATACCATGAAAGAAAACATGCATTATCATGGAAAATATTAATAAAAAATGGATCAGCATCGATTTCTTCATTTCTGCTCAAAGAGTGTATATGCGGCTACAGTAATTTCAGAAAAGACATTTACCCCTACTAAAACCAACTATAAGTATATATACAGCAATGTATGGTGGATCTTAATCCATGAAATTCTAATCTAACGGTTGTAATATGAAGATGATGAGTCCCATGTGCATGTCCCTCTCCATGCAGGTACAAAAGCTAAGTTCCTTGTCTTCATGCATTAATGAGCCTTGAATAGGGACTGTTTGGCTTGTATGGTCAATGCAAAACTCTGGTTTGCTAACAATTTTGCCTCAAATCATGGCTTTGTGCCCATTAAAATAAGAACAAATCATTGAGTTCAAGTTTGCTAAGAAAAAAAAAAAGAGAAATTAAAAGAAAAGTTTATCCAACTCTTTGATCTCTTCTCTTGTAACCTCTTGCTCGTTTTTTGTTTTAGTAATATTTATGATAAAATGTTATACTTTATAAAATACTATAAACTTCAAAATAAAATTAATTTTCAAAATCATGTTTTATTGTAAGTATACATCATCAATTTTTTATTTTTTTTTTTCAAAAAAAAAAGTCTGACTTGTTGACATTCTAACGGTTGTATGTTTTAAATTAGAATTTGTGAAAACAATATGATACTTATGTGAATATACATATACAATGTTGCAGAAATATATATCATTGTTAAAAAAATTATGCGCCAGCCTAACGATTGTCAATAATACTTGAAGTTTATTTGAATATGCTTATACTGTTCTACTACACACACAAATGAAAAATAATATGGGGAACGTAATATTGAGGTATTGTTGGCAACTGGCCAGTTTTTTATTTTAATATATCATTTGCAACTAGACAAAAGGTGATGATATATTGAGCATTAAAAATGTCATGATTGCATTGCAATACTCATAATGTCATGATATTTGCCACATCATTTACGTGTTGTCGGATATATAAGTATGGCTGCCTGATTTTTTTTATTTTTTTTTTATTTTTTTTTTATTTTTTTGTGGTAAAACTAGTAATGAAATTAGAAATTTGAAAAAAAAGAAAGTCGTGATGTTATTATCTATTTTTCCAATGTACTAGTAGGTATATGAATTGATGGTTGACATTTAATTTCAAATTAACATTTAATAATTTCATTGACTGAAATAAATGATTAATAGTTAATGGGTTGGAATCCATAATAAATATGAAAAAATAAAAGTCAGTGATGTTATTATCTATTTTTCCAATGCAGTTTCGTGACGTTGCGCATGCCTATGCCCACACCAAAGCCTCATTTCGCGACCCTAATGCCGTTTCGAGACGTTGCGCATGCCTATGCCCATGCCAAGTCCACAATTCGCGACCCGAACCTCATTTCTCAATGTTGCGCTTTCAGTTTACTAAATGTGTGTATTTTTAGTGTATGTTTGTGGTGTAGCTATAGATAGACATTGTGCTTTGTATTTTTTGGACAACCCCTTATTTTCTTAACTTTTAAGTTTGGAAATCCTCTCTATTTTCTCTCTTTTGTGTTTATGCTTTGGTTTGGAGGTTCATAACTCAATTTTTCGAAAAAATTCTGGCGATTTTAATTTTAATAAAGATTCGAGTTTTACGCACTATTTTCGTCCGGGCATGCGATAGGAGTGAGTACCTTGCTTAGGGCTTACTACTTCGAGTTTGTTTTTGAATTACGTGTTTATGCTCGATTCTAGGTCTTTGCTTTATTTTCATTGTTTGCTTACGTGTGTTAGAAGTTCGATACGTGCTAATCTTGTATAAAGGTCTCGACTTTGTTCAAAATGTGATGATTTAGTGTAGAAAGGTCGTATTGGATTACCTAAGATCACTTCACTAGCATGTTTTCTTTTGTTTATTTTCGTTTTTCTTGAGTTATGGAGACTCCGTGCAATCAAAGTTTCGATCTTTCTTTCAAATCTTGCATCCTTCACCTTTTGCTCTTAATTCTTAGTTTAATTTTGTACAATTCAATCCATCAAACGAGTAGAATGTGTAGGACCTTATTTTTGGTTATATGAATTGACGACTAGATAGTAAATGAAACTCCGAATAGCATTCATTTGAGAACGACCCGAATCCGGGTAGCTCGGTTACATCTACCCCCAAATTACTACTCAACAGTGAGCGATTTGTTGCCTGATGTAGGGCACAATACCACATGGCATCGGCATCTCCGTCCCTGAATAAACCACATGGCGACATAATTGGATTTTGACCATCTCATGGAACAGTCTCCCTTTCTGGTGTTACTCCTGTTTCTCGGACTATCGACGTTGTAGGTGTGTATATCTATGCAATATCACCAAGATTGTAGGAATTTGAAACTTACACTATTCATGTAATTTGTGTAGTTGTTGTTCTAAGGTCACATGCTTTCAATTTCTTGCTTTCTTTACATGTGAAATTTTATGATTTTTTTTCTTGCTTGTGTGGTGGAGGTAATGGCGGGGTGTTGCTAAAACGTTAATTAGTCATTTATAGGTGTTATTATTCATATGCATGTGGATTATTCATTAATTAAATTGAGAAAAAATGTTTTCATGTTATTTTTGTAGATGCCTGTGAGAAAAGAGGTTTATTTTTACTTGATCGAAATTTTGATTGAACTTCTGTTTATTTCTTNACATGTTAAAATGTTTTTTCTTTTGTTGCCCAATCAACCGCCTACTTTTGAAATAAAATTTCTATGTACATTTTTTTGATCAATTATTTTTTTATAATTCTTTAGGCATTTATATTTTTTAAGAAGAAGAAGAAGAAGAAAAGGGAAGAAGAAAGAGAAAATGTGAAACAAGAAGAAAAGGGAAGAACAATGAGAAACGTGAAAAGAGAAGGAGGAGAGAGAATGAAGAGAGAAGAAAAAAGGGAGAGAGATAGCAGTTAGTTATTAATTTAATTTTTGAATTAATTATTTTTTAACTTCTCATTGTAGTAGTTATTATCCTCTCTATATATAATTTCAGAATGCGCTGAGTCTACGTGGCAAACTCTCATGCGTTCAAATCTTATTTGACAAAAAATCATGCTTTAGAGTTAGGCTTAGATAAAAATTAATATATATTTTACTAAATCCATGATTGATTTTTTTTCTTCATTTACTTCTACAATTAGTTACCATCAACTCTTTTATGTTTCATTTTCCTACATTATCATACATCACATTTCATTTTCTTATATAATTCATTCATTAGTTTTTATAAATGTTTCTTCTTCTTATTTTAAGATCTTATAACTTTTTTGCTTGTATTTTATTTTTCATATATGATATATCAAATTAACTATCTTTTAACGATTTTCGATTTGGCATCCATATTATATATATAATATACAATACAGTAATATTTATAAATAAAATATAAATTTATTTATCAAACTAAATTAAATTATATCGAATAAAACTATAAATTATACTATAAAGTAATAGAAATTGGTATGTATTCTTTTAAAAATGATATTTATTTCAAATCTAATTGGTATGACTTGTCAATCTAATAAAAATAAATAATTATTTATCTAAATTCTATAATTACATATAAAGATAAAAAACTGTGAAGTACTTCTGATACGACACTTGATGTATTAGGCATCTAACTAAGTAAAAAAATAATCTATTTGCTTAATATTAAATAAACATATTCTACACTTATGCATATACGTATCACTATATTATTTCTATTTATTTAAGCTATATACTTTTGTAGTACTTATGTAATAGTCAATAATATCGATATTTTTATATGATATAAGGAAAAAAAATCCAACACGGGTTGACATTTTCATTTAATGTACAGGTGTTCAATTATTATGATTAAAAAAAATATAACTTGACAATTTAATCAAAACCCCAAGTAATGTTTTATATAAAATTAAATTATTTTAGTTTTTAAAAAAAATAAAAAATTTAAATTTTTTTACAAAAGCTTTCTAATTCAACACCCGTGTATTACACAGATATTGTACTAGTTTTATATGTTTTGGAATGAATGAAATAATTTTGGAATTCTATAGTTTTTAATAATTGGTTACTTATTACTTTTCGCCGAGGAAAGCATGTGGAATCTGAAAAAAAAATAAAATAAAATAACTAGCACTACAGCAACAGGTCATGTCGGTGTTGCACGTTTAATATTAAAAAAATTAAATAAAATTCTGGTGATAAGAAATTTTATACTGAAAGTGCTTCAGGCTGCACGTTTTGTATTCACAAAGTAGACATGGCCGCGGGCCGAATCGGCTCGTGACCCGGACCGGGAACCGGTCCCAAACCGACTACATACGGGCCGGTCCGTTGGACCGAACCGCAAGGGTCGCGGTTCGGTCCAGGTTCTTTTTTTTTTTGTTTTTCGCCCCGGCGGTCCGGGTCAGGTCGCGGGCCGACTGCCGGCAATATTTTTTTATTTTTAATTTTTTTTATTAATATTAAAACTGTCGGTTATACGAACCGGCGGGTCCGGGCCGCGAACTGGTCCCGGACGTCCCTATGTCCGGTACGGTCCCGGGCCTTGTCCAAGCAGACCGTCAGCCCGGTGGGCCGGGCCGGGCCGGGCCCGAACCCGTTGACTGGCCACCCCTATCCCAAAGTAAATAGGTCAATAGTGTGGTACTTAGTATGGGCCTGTTTTGTCTTATATTGGTTGTTTGGACTAGTGAACACATGTTAGTATATTCAAAATTCTGTTTTGAGGATTTGGAAAAATTCTCTCTCTAGAAAAACCCCAATTCCGCAGACGAAACCCCAACCCTCCCCAACAAAGCCACCGACAACCTCAATCTCGTCACGGCGACTTTTGACCCAGGGGTAGAAGCATCGTTGCGCCTCCCTGCATCTGAATTTCCTCCCCTATCTTCCAATTTGACCCTGCTCTCGAAGCGTCTGCGAGTCAGAAATAGACAAGGCGAGCTGAGGAGCAGAGCAACCCTCCCAGCAAGACTTTTACTGTAGTTAATCCGGCCATTTTGACCGTTTCCCCGCAGCAATTGTCCTTTCGAGATATGGTTAGTAAGCAGAGGAATCACGTGGAGATGAAATACGATGATGAGGGCGAAGAGCCGAATGGCGACGACGAAGTGTCGGTGGATCTATCCCGCCCTCTGCCGGAGATTCGAATAGCCCCACGTTTCTTCGATCGTATCAACAAAGAATGGAAACACGTGGTCGTCGTTAAGCCGTTCGATGAATCAATTACAATACCATCGTTGTACAATCGGCTGACCAAACTGTGGTCGTTCATGTCGGGATGCAACATGATGGATCTCGAAAATGGGTTTTATCTTATCCATTTTCAGAATGAGGAGGATGCGACTAAGGCACTCACGAGCGGCCCGTACGTGATAGGCAGCGGTTATATGCATATACAACCTTGGAATCTTGAATTTGATGCGACACAGGAGGAAGTCACGTCTACTGTCGCTTGGATTAGGCTGCCCGAAATGCCGGCCCACCTCTATCACAATAAGGTGTTTCGGATGATAGGCTGCATTGTGGGTAAAGTGGTCAAAATCGATCAGCAGACCGCATCACTGACGCGTGGTAAGTTTGCTCGTTTGGCTGTTCTGGTAGACATTACTAAACCGCTATGCGTCAATTTTACCATTAATGGGAGATACCAAAGGGTGGTATATGAAAGTCTTCCTACTATATGCTACCGGTGTGGACAAATAGGCCATTCGAGTAGCTCCTTCCTGTATCAACCAAGCCCTACCCAGCCAGTTAATCAAACTGGCCTCATGCCTGGGACTCGAGACCAAGGTAAGGAGAGCAGTTCCACGAAAAAAATGGAGACGGAAAATAGAAGAGAAGAGCCGAAGTACGGCCCGTGGATGCAGATCCCGCAGCGAACGCGCCAACCGTACTCACGACGAGTTAATGGAGGCGAGAAGGGGCACAATCCGAAACACCCGCAACCAGAATCCCGGCTCGGATCTCGGTTCACCTTATTAGATAGCAAGGACACTCGGGGGGAAAACCTTAGTTTTGCATTTGGGGCCCACGTGTGGGGCCAACCGGCGAGACCTCTGCAGCATTGAAGGAACCTGGGGTGCTGGATGGCAGTGACTGGCGTGTGGCTACCCGAAAAGGAAGGAAAAAAGGTCGTGTCACCCCGGCTAGTACGAACGAAGCGACATCCACTGGATTGGGCAAGGCATCCGCCAGTGAGGGCACATCTGGTACCATTAAGGCTAAGGACAAGACCGAGGCAATCCAAATTTTGAACCTCCTTGGGACTGTACGCGTAGGCACCGGGCTAAATCCGGTTAACCACCGAGCTGTTACTATAGACGATGACTGCTTGCAAGAGTCGCCCTCACATACTTCCCAGCGCAACCCATGTGTTGGTTCCAACAACGACGTTGTCATGGCAGAGGGCTATGGAAACGTGAAGTTACAGGGCCGTGGCCGGAGGACCATACTTCTGCCGACAGTACGGAGGACAACTCGGGCCAACCATGCCAGGCAATGGATCTTGAAGGAGTGTCGGATTCACATGTCCAATCTCTTCAATAATGATGATCGTCACCATCTCTCCTCCCGTTTTCCTCATGAATATCATTACTTGGAATGTGCAAGGTGCTGGTTCGCCCGAGTTTCGGGGAGCCTTCGCAACCTTAATACAACAGTACAAACCGGATGTGGTAGCTTTTTTCGAACCCCAGATTAGCGGGGTAAATGCAGACAGGTTCGTTAAATTCAGCAAATTTGAGTTTTCATTTCGGATTGAAGCCCGTGGATTCTCTGGTGGTATTTGGATACTTTGGAATGGAGATGTGCAACTTGACGTATTGTGTTACTCTAGACAGTTTGTCCATGTTCGGGCCTTCAAGGATGGTGTAGGGTGTCTGGTCTCTTTTGTTTATGCTAGCCCCAATGTTATTATTCATAGGAAACTATGGACTGATCTGGACACCCTTGCATCTCACATCTCTGACCCCTGGCTGGTCGGGGGAGATTTTAATTGCCTACTTCGGCAGTCTGAGAAGAAAGGAGGAGCATCGAACCATTGTAACGTGCAGCCGGCATTTTCTAATTGGTTGTTTTCCCATAGCCTACAAGAAGTGGACACGGATGGGCACCGTTTCACTTGGGTGCGAGATGGCCCTCATGGAAGACTAGAAGAAAAGCTTGATCGATTTATAGCCAATACGGCATGAATGGAGAGATTTGGGTTAAGACGCGTTCGACTCCTCCCGAGGGTCCAGTCGGATCACTTTTCCCTGATGCTGACAATTGGTAGGCACACCCTAGTGCCACGAGGCCCGAAGCCCTTTCGTTTCCTGGCAGTCTGGCTTTCTTCATTCCGAATTCATCGTCATGTTACAGGAGACTTGGCAACCTTCGCTGGGTTTTGCCGAGGAGGCATCGAAGTTCACGGAGGCAGCGAGGGAATGGAACTTTAAAGTGTTCGGCAACATTTTCCAGAGAAAGAAATCTCTTATGGCCCGTCTGGGTGGGATACAGCGTAGCCGACAGTATTATTTTAAGGAACGTTTGGTGGTTTTGGAGCAACAGTTGCGTGATGAATTAAACGGCGTCATTCTGCAAGAAGAGCTGCTCCTACTGCAGAAATCTACGAGGAATTGGTCGCTCTAGGGGGATAGGAATACATCCTTCTTCCATTGCCAGCTTAAATACCGTCGACGACGTGGCAAAATCACTGAGTTGGTGGATGCAGATGGTCACCGGATTACGGATCAACTTTCGCTTCAAAACATGGCTACGGAGTTCTTTAAAATATATACACCGCAGGGCCGGCGCCTGAAAAGTACGGGAACGCGCCTAGTCTATTTTCCGCTTACGATGAGGCGGTGTTGCCAAGCATGGAAGCTGATATTTCGGATAACGAAATCGAGTCTGCGCTGCAGAAAATGGGGGCATTGAAAGCTCCTGGTATGGACGGCTTAAATGCTCTTTACTTTCAGAAAAATTGGGCGACCGTGGGTTCCTCAGTGAAGGCTCTTATTCGCAAAATGGGGCATGATGGGGCTGTTCCACGTGAGATTAACCAAACTTTGATTGATTTAATTCCTAAGGTTGAGAATGCCACCACGATTCGACACTTCCGGCCTATCAGTTTACTCAATGTTATTTACAAACTGTTCACTAAAATATTGGTGAACCGCATGAAGGGCACACTACCTCTTTTAATCCAGCCAGCCCAAGCTAGCTTTGTTCCGAGATGATAGACCACGGAGAATATCGCTATTGCCCAAGAATTGATCCATTCCATACGATATCAAAAGGGTGCGACGGGCTACATTGTAGTAAAGGTCGATCTCGAAAAGGCCTACGACTATTTGCGCTGGGACTTTGTTGAGGAATCTTTACCGCTGGCCGGATACCCTGACAAATTGGTTCGGGCCGTGATGGCGAGTGTTACCTCGGCTACGATGAACCTGCTGTGGAATGGCACGATTGGGGAGACATTCCAGCCATCCCGAGGGGTTCGACAGGGGGACCCCATTTCCCCCTACCTTTTTGTGCTGTGCATGGAAAGGTTAGCTCGGTTGATCTGCCAGACGATGAAGGATTAGCGTGGCGCCCCATTACTGTTGGCAGACGGGCCATCTCGGTCCCTTTCCTGATGTTTGCTGATGATCTCTTGCTATTCTTGGAAGCTTCTGATGAGCAGGCATTAATCCTTAAGCAGGTCATTGACCACTTTTGTCGATTTTCAGGTCTCAAAGTGAGCTCAGCAAAGACTCTGGTTTTCTTTTCTAATAATGTGGATCCAGAGGAACAGCATCGCCTTGCGGATGTCTTAAACTTCAAATGGACGGACAACTTGGGCAAATACCTCGGTATGCCGATCATACATGGAAGAGTGTCTCGTGATACGTACTCACATATTGTGGAAAAAGCGGAGTCCAGACTCGCTGGATGGCGTGTGAAATTGCTTTCACTGGCCGGGAAGGTAACGCTTACACAGCCCGTCCTCAGCACACTGCCCTTTTATTCCATGCAATTTGTCATGCTTCCTTGTGCCATCACAGACGGACTTGAAAAATGGAGTCGGGCTTTTCTTTGGGGTAGCTCTAACGAGAAAACGAAAATACATCTGGTTGCGTGGAAAGATGTTTGTAAAACTAAGGATGAAGGGGGTTTGGGTATCAAGGAACCCCGTAGCATGAATCTTGCGTTTCTCATGAAACTAGGTTGGGCTATTCTGACACGACAGGATTCATTCTGGGTTCGCGTTCTGATGGCTAAATATGATATTCACCCCTCTTCCCGGTTGGCCGCCCTCCGATGCCGACGTGGATCGGCTTTGATGCTTGCTCTCAACAAGGTCTGGCCGATAGTTGTGAAAGGAGCACGATGGATTATTGGGAATGGGACCACCGCCCGATTGGCTGGACCCGTGGCTTGGTTTAGACCATCCTTTGATTAGGTATTCCTCTCGCCAACCGCCAGATGAGATTCTACACTTGCCAGTCGCCCACTTCGTTGATGATTTTGGACGATGGAAGTGGGATTGTTTCCATGGGCTTCTTCCCTCTCAGATTATCATGCATATTGCGGGCGCGCTGCCTCCAAACCCGATGACGGGAGATGATCACATCATATGGAGATTTTCTCAAGATGGTAAGTTCTCTACACGTACTGCTTATAAAGCCCTAGTTATTTCTGAACCGAACCCTAATCGGCCGCTCTGGAAAGTGATTTGGCGTATGACGGCACCACAAAGGAACCGGACATTTCTGTGGCTTGCTGCTAATGGTCGTCTACTAACCAATGAGGAGAGGGTGAGGCGGAATTTTTTCGTCTCGGCGGCCTGCGACCTCTGTGCAGAATGTGAATCTGTGTAGCATGTATTATGGGACTGCCCGCCCGCTAAAAGCTTATGGTCCAAGCTGGTTCCGCCGGGTCAGACTATGATATTTTTCCAACTACCCCTCCGCCCCTGGCTGCTATGGAACTTGGTGAAGTCTCGACTGGGACACGTAGATTATTGAAATACTCTATTTGCGGTTACGACATGGCGTATGTGGGGATGGAGGAACGATCGGGTTTTCAACAACCGAGCTATTAGTTGTGATTTGCGACATATGGAGGTTATACGTATAGCCCGTGAATATGGGCGCACGGTGGCAGCCTCAATGCAGGCCGAAGCCGCTCTCCATGTTACTCGTATGATCCATTGATCTCCGCCACCTTCGGGGTGGATTAAGCTCAAGACGGACGGTGCTTTGATTCTTGCAACGGGAATGGGTAGTTCTGGTGGCCTTCTTCGCGATGAAATGGGCCGCTGGCTCGGTGGATTTCTAATGAATATCGGTGTTTGCACTATAACGGGAGCCGAGCTTTGGGGCCTTCGACAGGGTCTATAGTTGGTCTGGGATCTGGGATTTCGTCGATTGATTGCCAAAGTTGATAGCCAATGTGTCACGCAAATGGTACTTGGTTCTGACGACAATCTTGGAGCTCATGAGACCATTGTCCTAGCCATTCGCGGTATGCTTCAATGGGATTGGTGTGTTCGATTACAACATGTGCATAGGGAGGCGAACTTTGCCGCCGACCATATGGCAAGCTTAGTATCTACTTCTTCTGTTGGCTTATAGCGCGTATCCTCACCTCCACCGGGCATGGGCTCCTGGCTTGATCACGATATTCTTGGGGTATCGTATCCCAGGAGAGTTCTTACGTAGTACCGTTTTAGGCCTCTGGCCTCTTTCATTATACCAATAA